GGGGGGGGGGGGGGGGGTGAAGAACACCCGAGGCTGGTTTCTGACGTCTGGGCTGTTTTTAGGAATTTAACAGCCTCCGGTTTGAGGGTCACTGAGATTTCCTTTTTTAAATAAACCTGACGAAATTTCCCTGATGAGATGCACAGGTCATAGGGAGGAGGTGTAAGGATCCCTACACACACAGCAACGTTTGCTTATGTTGGAGAGCTTATCCACCATCTTTCAGGCTCGCCTGAATTCCTTCCCCCCAACCTGCTATGATAGGATGGCAGGTGGGTTAATCCTGCAATCCGTTCACTTTAGAGGACCGGATTCTCAGGGCAGTCCCTGGAGTCCCTAGACACAACACTTCTCCAAAGTGACATTTTAATGTCATTCTTTTCCCCTACTGTATGGTGGGAGTAGGAACTGTGCTTGCCTGTAGCTGCAAACGTCCAGCGAAACCGTATGTCTTGATCACATGGAGGATAAGCTGAATTTGACCCTGGAAATTCATGCAGACCTGCCAATACTGCGGTTCCCCTGGTGGTCCTGGAGCTGGGACGGGAAGACGTCAGTAAAACCTATGCAAAGGCCAGGGTGTCGTTCTGAAACCCCGCCTGGGAGTGGGCAGGTGACAAGTGTCACAGGGTTATGACATCTGACAGATCCGGTTATAGGCTGGTGTCAGCTCCCTACCCACCTCTTAGGACTGTTTAACAAGATGCCTGGCGCTAGCAAGAGGCCACCTCTCTGAATTGCAAAGCATGGAGCAGATGTAGTGGCTTCACCCACAGCACTTGCTTTCTCTGCTCCTATCCAGTTCTACTGACTCGTCAGAGTGGGGGCACAGGAATGCTTCTATAAAAGTAACAGGCCTTAGATTTCAATTCTCAATGGCTTTAATAAGTCAAGACATGAAACTCAGAAAGCCCAGTTCTGTTTTCAAATAGATAATACAACCTAACCCGAGTTTCTGGTTAGAATTTCCCAGGCTCCTGTAGGACCCTGAGGTTAACTACTTTTCCTGATATGAGACACATTCCCCAAGGATGTCTCAGTGTGGCCGTACTATTTTTTTTATTAGCATGAGAGAAAAGTTTACAAAGTTTGATCTGGTAATAGAGTATTCCAGTTGTCATGAAATGGGAAAAGGTAGAATTTTCTCACAAAAGCAAGTACAACTAATAATAAGAAAACATTGTATTTGTTTCCAGGGATCTAAAACTATAATATTTTGCATATGTCTTGCTTAATTCTGCAAACTAAATAGCTGCCAAAAGAAAGTAAAATCCTCTTGTGAAAATATGCACACTTTTAACCAACTGGTTTACTATTACGCAGCAAGAGAAAAGAGCCCGTGATACAGAAATGAGCTAGGTCTTTCCCTGGAGCACTGGTCATGTCCAATTTAGTCACATGGCAGTCAGGTGCCCAAAACAAGGAGCCTGCCTGGTTTCCTTCGAGCACTCCCAGAGGGAATACCTGAGTTGTCCTTTCAATGGCTGAGGTCTGAGAATTAACTGAGACTAGTACCCAGCACGGGGTGGGGCACCCAGTGGGAACTAAAAATACTTACTAAGTCCAACACAGTGGTACACACCTGTAATCCCAGACCTCAGGAAGGAGAGGCAGGAAAACCACAGCAAGTTTGAAGCCAGCCTTGGCTACATAGAGAGTTCAAGACCAGCCTGGACTGCACAGCGAGACTCTGTCTCAAAAAAAACAAAAACAAAAAAAACCCCACCTAAATAAATAAATAATGTGTTAAGTGAATGAGCTAAGCTGAAAAGCCACAAAGGTATAATTTTTTTAAGTATGTGCATAAATAACTCAGTCTCTAGGAAACAGTTCAAATGACTCCAGCCACAAGGACATGATTTTGAGTAACATTAATGGCCACAGGTTATTATGTTATGTACTTACTATCCACCAGGCAGTGAAGCAGATGGTTTATAGAAGACTGTCTTGTTTAATCCTCATAACTGCACCAAGGTCCCATTTTACAGATGCAGATAAGTTAAGTCATTTGTCAGGCAGAGGCAGATGTAAGCTTCTAGCAGGTGATCCCTAAACTGCAGGGCCCTGGGAGAACCTAGTGATTTGCTTGCAGGGCCACATGTTTTGGTAACATTTTCAAGAGTGAGGTTTTCATCTTTTCCTTAAGGAGAACCCCTAAGATAATATAAGCTGCAAACCCAGCACATGTTAGCAGCACTACTGTATCCAAGGTCACACATGTGGGAAGTGGCACCGGAGCCTGTGGTCCTCATCAAGCAGCCTTTCCTTCCTGTCTGGGCCCTTGGCAGGGAGCAGAAATGTTTCCCACTCTGCTTCTCACATAGGCGTAGGAGGCTCCCACATGTTTGGGGGAATAGGAAACCTCTTTTTCTGATGTTCTTTCATTGCTTTTGTATTGTTAACGTGTGTATAACGTATAATGTGTGACACACTACTATTTCGAAAAGTATTTTAATAATATGGGAAATGCTCTCCTTATGTAGAGTGGCCACACAATAAGGAGTGAGTGTGTGCATGTGTGTGTGTGTTACTAACTCACTAAGCATTAGAAACTGAATGAATAGGTAGAAAGAAATGTATTAGAATTTTAATAATGGTTATTCTTCATTTGGAGCAGTTTTATTTTCATTTTACTTTTCTGTGTGTTTCAAGTTCTAAACATACATCTTTACTCAATTAATTTTTAAAAGTAATATGTGCTTAGTTTTAAACATTAAGCAGTGCCAAAAAGCTTAATATAAGAAAGAGCACTCGCTGCCCTATCTTTGCTGTAAATAGAAGCAAAAAAAAAAAAAAAAAAATCCAAAGCTCATCTTAGTAACATATTTATTTTTATTAAAGCTTTTGGAATTATGAGTAGAAAGAGCAGAAGTTTCATAAATTTTATTAAATCAGCCTTTAAAATTTTAAACATCGTTTGGTTCATAATTGGTGATAACCATTCAGTAATAGCAGAAAGGAACACTCGAAAGAGAAAGTAATTTGAAAATCTCCCAGATACATGAAAACTGGAGGAGGCTGGTTCCTCGTTCATTCTCTTCAGCAAGAAGGTACTGTTTCATCTTTCTGTGATCTGTGAAAGTCTAACCGTTTCTACAATTAAAATCTCTCTTTTCCAAAGCCTTAGGTTGAACCCCTGTCTATAAAGTGACCAATCCAAAGGTGGTTAGGACCGCAGTGTTACCGAGTGGCCCAGCGCTGTGGTCTAAAATCCTGTTTGACAGCGAGTGAACTGAAAGCCAGAATGGGAAATGGCCAAGCTGGGTCAGTGCCTTTTGGTGTGGAGCTGGGGTGTGTGGGGACCAAAACCCCCCATGTGATGGTCCTGCTGTTTGATCCCTTAAAGGAATTTGCAGTTGCCTCTGCTGAATGCCTCCTTCACTCCATGTTTTGTCTCTGGGGTCAAACCAAATGTAAGCGGTTGCTAAGAAAATTGCTCCCCAAATCTAGTAATGGACAGTAAGGAAAGGGTGATTGTGCAGGACACAAAAGATGGGCAGCCTCCCAGCCTCCTCTCTTGACCACTCACTCCTCCTCCTCACTCACTCACTCACTCCCCTTCCCTTGACCTTACACAGAGTGCATCTGGGGGAAGGAAACATCTCAGAGGACGCATAACCCAAGTCAGGGGAACAGCAAACATCATCCCAGTGCTGCTAGCATCTATCGGGAGAACTTCCATACCACAGAAATAAAACAAAAGGAAAGATGATGGAGTACTGCTCTTCCATAAAGAAGGATACACTTAAGTCACTTAGAGGAAAATGGATGCCATCTTGAGACCATCAGTGAAATAAATCAGAAATACAAGCTTAAATAACGCATGGCCTCTCTTATGTGAGAAACCCAAAGTATAAATCATCTAAAATATAAGGCACATAGTAGGAAACAGGGAGATAGATCTTTGGCGAATGGGAAGGGGACCAAGAATAGAGCAAGGGAGTAGGGGATAAAAACAGAAGATGTGTTATGTGTAAGTACCTACTTGCCACGAGAAATGTGATCATTATGTACTGTGAACAGGAGGAATAAGAAAGAAGGAAAGAAACTCTGCTGCCCAGGCAGTGTCCACACTGGAGCCTCTCTCCTTCACTTCCCACGGTTCACCCAAAGGTACACATTAGCGTGTCTGTTATGTACGTTAATCTACCCTCACTCACCTTTCTGGAGAGTTGGAACTAGGGTCGGAATCCAGTGACTCCACTGAATTGACCTTCTGAAATAGGAATGTGGCCAGAAAAAGAGAGCCAGAATTCTGCTAAGATGTAAAACCGAAACGAGAAAAGTAAGTCAAGGGACTCACACTCTCGAGATGGGGAGCTTCTAAGGTTTATTCCTCAGAGGTGAGGATGACAGTGTGACGACAATTAAGAAAGAGTGCCTCATAGTCAAAGTGCTCAGTGAAGAGAGACTTAAAACAACCACACTTGGAAAGGGGTGCAGTACAGAAGGGGAGATGTTGACAGCTCTTCAGAATTGAAAGAACTACTCAGTGAGCATCGGTTCTTGAAACTCCATAGAATGGAATGAGGTGTGATGCTATTGGAAGACAGACACCAAAATAGGACAAGAACCACCCCCCCCCACAGCCAGGCGCACGCACACGCGCCCTGTCCATCTGGAGACACCTACAGAAGGTTTGTGCACTGCTTGTGTAGATGGATGAATTGGATGAGTGTTGACATTTTGAGTTTTCCTCAGTGGCATCTTGACATTCAGCTAGTCAGCCCTTGAGCTTTGGTTTTCTCATCTGTGAGATGGAGGAATAATCCTCGTGTAGGCACCTAACTACTGTGGGCCCTTCCTTCCGGCCAGTACATGGCCTAGTGGGATGAGGGCTTTCTTTGATAGACAATGGAGTGAGAAAAATTTTAAAACTCTTTCATCTTTCTCAGTATTTTCACTACATTTGCACATCTTCTGTGTTTCATAGTATTTTCTAAACAGCAAAAATACTTTTATACCCAAGAAGATTTTTGTGTCTATATTAAACATCAGAAAAAGTCAAGATGCTGACTAACAAAAGGCAGCCATGATAATGTCAGAAGTAGCTCTGAACTATCTTCAGTTTATCCTCATGATAAAATTATTTTTCTATGCATTTCAGTTAATAAAATTTATGTCAACAATGCTATTGAAATATTAGCTAATAATAGTCATTCTATTATGTTAAACCACATCTTATACAGTGTTACTTATTAAATTATGTAGTTATCACTGTTGTGTGTGTACAGCCACATGGAGATTTGCTGGCCCTGACAACTACAGACATATGAAAGAATGTTTTTAAGTAAGCACAGTCATTAATAAACCTAGTGACAGAATTAAAATGTAGGCCATGATATAAATTCCACATCTATCAGGAAAAAAGAAAGGAAATACAATCTTTAGGCAAAAAAATTTAAGAAGCATTGTAAATAGAAATATGTCTGGTGTGGGGGCACATATCTCCCAGCACTCCGGGAGGATGAGGCAGAAGGATCGCATGTTCAAGCCCAGCCTAGGCAACTGATTGACTCAGAGACCCTGTTTCAAAATTAAAAATTTTAAAAGGGCTGGGAATACAGCTTAGGGCAAAGGCCCTGGGTTCAATGCCCAGTACCGAAAGAAAGCAAGAAAGCAAGCAAGCAAGCAAGAAAGAAGAAATAAAAGCAGAAAACAACCAAATAAATAAAGCAAATACCAAGTCAGTAATAATAGATTGAAGGAAAATACCCCCTACCTCGAAGGGTGATTGATTCTCATGTAGGATCTGATATGCTTTGCCGAAGTTAAGATCCCAGTCTCCGGAGCAGGACTGACTTCCGGGTTCCACAGTTCCTGGCCCTGCCTAGTAGTGGTGACCTTGAGCAAGTGTCCTGTCTTCCTGTGCCCAGTTTCCTTATCTGTCAAACAGGGGTGCCTCATTCATGGCTGATGTCAGAAGTGATCCTTGCAGATCACATGGTAATGCTCACACTGCTGGTCAGAATTTTGCAAAAGAAAACAGCCTTTGTATCCTGCCATGTTTCACTATGCTGTGCAGCTGCACGGATGAAAACAGCAAATACTGCCATCTAAGGAGAGCTAGGTCATTAAAACAGATTTAAAGGTTGAGAAGCAAATTTACTATACAACAAAGGTAGAAATTCAAATGAGTGGCAGAAAAATGTATTTGAAAACAGTGCAGAAACAACTGGGTTTTTAAGAAACTATATATTAGGTTGAATTTTTTTAAAACTCACAACATATACCCAAATAAGTTCCAGGTGGATTAAGGAGTTAACCTTCAAAAATGAACTCATCCAGGAACTGAACAGAGATGTAGGCAACTGCTTCTATAATTCTGGAGTAGTGGTAGGGCTTTCTAAGCAAAGGGTAGAATCACCTAAGGAAAGACCTAGAGAGAGAAACTGAAAAACTCCACTGGACTCTACAGGACTATCCAGCTGCCTCCCCCAAGGAGGATGCACATAACCCATGTGCTGTAGTGACCATGAAATGTACACAGATGGTCCTCTTTGGGTGTGATTACTACATACAGAATTCCTCATTTAATGATCCAGTTATGTTCCTGCAACTGAGTGGTTAAATGAGTTGGTCACGAACAAAGAAATAGTCAAAAGCATTGGGGATTTAACTCCGTGGTTCTGCTGCCTACCTCGCAAGCAGAAGGTCCCGAGTTCTATCCCTGGTACAGAAAGAAAGAGAGAGAGAGAGAGAGAGAGAGAGAGGAAGGAAGGATCAAAGGCAACTCCAACTTGATAACTTTGCTTTTACTTTCATAATTCTCACATGCAGTAGTGTAATGTGTAACAGAACGTAAGAATACAGTGCTGTGCTGTACAGTACACAACTCTGACAAGTGGACCTGGGAGAGGACCTTGGTGTTGGGAGAGTTCATAGTAGGGAGATCTGGCTTCTTAGTCCTTCAGAGAGGACTCCATCTCTGGCCCCGAAATAAATATGTAATGAGAGAAGAAAATGCCTTCATGTCTGAAGTGAAAAGGGCAGAAAAGTTGTCAATTTATGTTTATGGATTATGGAGCACTTCCAATATACCAGGACAATGCAAGTCATTAGTATTCTTAATAATCCAGTGAAATAGTAAGATCATCTCTGCCTGTCCAGAGAAAACTGAGGCTAGCTGTTAAGTAGCAGGCAGAGCCTGGGCAGTGGAGGCAGGGTCCTCCCTCCCGCTTAATCATCGAGGGGTTACACCTGTTATTTCAGGTCAATTTTAGACTGAAATGCATAAATACCCACACACACATACATGACATGTGTATATACATGTGTGTGCCTAACACTTGTCCACATTCTATACTGTAACCACTCAAAAGCTACCAGTCAAGCTATCAGCAGTTGAACAGAACCACAGTGACAAACAGACCTCACAATGACCGGCAAAGCCAGACTGTAAGTTAGGACTCTGGTCCTCCTGGGGGTCTGCCCTGGACCCTGGTCACCAGGGAGAGGTGGCCTCCACTGTGACCTGTGGCCCTCAGCAGCTTTCTTCCTCCCTCCATTCCGAGCTCCATCCGCACCGTCTCCTGCTGATAGTCATCCCTGTTTGGGCTTGAGGAACACACACCTGTGGTGGGACCCCAGATTGACTCTTAGGGGGATCACACAACACAGACTCAGGCCTTCAAGAGGGGGAGGGCCATGGGCTAAAGTTCTGCCCAGACTTACTCCAGGAAGGGCATTGCAGCCAGAAGACAGCAAAGGTGAGACTGGGCCTCTGTATCTGACACAAAATAACTTATCTCTTTAAATGAGAAAATAACATAAGATAACTATTGAGATGAGTACTGTTGTTAATTCCATTTTATATGGGAGAAATGATTATAAGTCAACCTATGTGCTACTGGGCAGGCTATTTGTAAAGAACCATGTTAACATTTCTCTTCCCTTGCTTCCTTCCTTTCTTTCCCCCCTTCCCACTCTCCTGTACACAGATCTTTAGAGGCACCTTCTGTGCCAGGCACTGCCTAGGCACTGAACTCAGAGTGATCAAGAGAGGGGCTCTCAGAGGAACTGAGACTCTAGCAGCCAACCAGCATGATCACATGAGTAATTACAAACAGGGGTAAATGCGCCTGACACATCGTAAGTGTTGATTTGTTGGTTGCCTTTGATTCGGGGTTTCCTGCTGAGACAGGAAGGAATGTAAATCTGTTTTTCTCTTGAAACCAGGGCCTGTACAGATTTTCACCAACCCCCAAGATGGAAGCATCTCTTACAGCTAACCAGCACTGGGAGTGCTTCCTACAAGCACAGAAGCTAATTTTGTTAAATCAACTCTACTACTTTATTGCTGCAGTAAAACTTTCCTAAAAACTTCAGAGGCACAAATTCCTGCCGTGTTACAAAGCCAATTATCCAATTTAGAAACGGGGGCTTTTACCGGAAGACCCTGTTGCCAAGTTCTGTGGAGATGCAGAAGAAGGGAAGGGAGGACATTCGAGGCTTAAAAGAGACTTGTTTTCCTCCTGATATCCCTGCACCACAAAGTGAAAGAGGCAGGACAGATGTGATGAATGACACCTGGTATTTTATTCCCTTTCTTCCAATTGCCCTAAGTTAAATGATTTCTAGTAAATTAATGCTGAACAGGTGTTACAGGAGTCACTTCAAAATGACAAAACCCCAGCTGGACACTTTGGCCAGCAAAAAGCAGAGGGTTTGGCTTGAGCTCCTTGTGCCACAGCCAATAAATGAAAATTTTACACAATACTAATATTCTCCACGTGGATTTAGGGGGAGAAAACAGAAAACTTTATATTGAATGGGGGGCGTCTAAGAAGGAGAATCCACTTGTGCCGCTGACATGGGCAGGATGGATTTTTTTAAATTGCACATACAATGTTTATTTAACATGTTTTCGTATTTCTTAAAGCATGGATTTTTGATTGCCCATCGAGCTTGTATCTTTTTACTAATGGTTTTCATTGTTTCTAGTACAGAATAAATTTCCAAGAAATTTATCTTGGGAAAGGAGTGACTCCATCTTCACAATTATGCAGACATTCCCTGGCAGCTTCTTTCCCACCCAGCTTCCACTGAACATTCCAGTGGAAGAAACCATTCTTGTTTAAATTGTGTTACACACACACACACCACACACACACAGACTTGTCTAGAAGGCGCCCTGCAGGGCAGACACCCAGGCTGCAGGTGGGGCTGTGACAACGACCAGGAATGACAGACACCCCACCTACCTCCACCTAACCACCTGGGGTGCATTTGCTCTAAGTAACCAACAATCCCAGGGTGAAGAGAGGGTTCTCTTTCTTTGAAGGATTTGAGAAAACATCAAACACCACAGTCAGAGCTCGGAAAGGACTGAGAAAGTGACTGAGGAAGGGAGACAGCCTTGTTGCCTCAAGAGCAGACCCTGCAATTTTTATAAACTTCTCCAGTGCCCCTGTCAAGGAGTGAGAACTAACAATACAGCCAGCTTGGTCCAGGCTAAGACAGTGCAGGAGAGAAACTACACTCCCTGAGGCCCCCGGAATTGACCCCCAGCCTGCGTCTCCTTCCCTTCTGCCCTCCTCCCCGCTGTAGCTGTAGCTGTATCTCTCACCATCCTCTCTTTCCTCCTCCTCGCTCTCCCTCCCCTCCTACCCCTCCACCCCCTCTTCTTCTTCTGGCCCTTGTTCTCCTCCTCTTCCTCCTCCTTCTTAGCTATTACCCTGAAACACATTGCAAGTTTGCGAGCTTTGTCACCAAGCAGGTGTGTGTAACCCTCTGTGGATACCTGTTTCCTCCATTTCAGGACTGGTAACCGGGCTCACTTTAGAAAGTGCTCATTTTAAATGAGTGGTTTCTCTGAAGTGCTTTGCCCAGTGCCCCACCCAGAGGAGGGCTCAGTGATATGTGCTATTCACATCTTCCCTCCTACTTTATCTTCCCACCAGTGCAGCACACCATGTTCTCATGACTCCATCCCAAAGGCTCCTCTTTTTCATTATTTTGCTTTCATAATTCCTATCTACCTTTAGGTCTCATGGAGCTGCCACCTCTCCAGTGACACCTCCTAGACCTATTCTGGAATCAAAAGCCATCCCCCCATCTTCTAGCAGGAGCAGGGGTCTTCTCAAGGACCCTTCCCTCCACCTGGGTGCAAGGTTTGGTGTGGGCCCTCTCACGTCCCCTGCCAGGCTGCAGGTTTGGGGGGGAATCTTTGTGCCTGTTTTTCTGAGTTTCCTCAGAAGCTGTTATACCAGTGCCTCGGTTTCCACTTTGGGGAAGTGGGAGGACATTAACCATACAGCACTCAGTGAAGTAAGCATGAGAGCAAACTGAAATGTGGGTAGACCCTGACGCAGTGCCTGACACAAAGGAAGTGAGCACTCATCGAAGGTGCCGGGAGGACATCTGTGGGGAGTGGAACAGCAGAATCATTGCTGTGCTGAGTCAAGGGGGTCGGAGTGAGAAGGTCTCCAATTGGCCATGTGCAGGGTGCCCTGGTGGATGGGGCCAGCAGATGTGAGGCCACAGATAGCCTTAATGTTCCCACCGCAGCGGGCCAGTCTGCAGTCACACAGATGCTACTGTCTCCGCAGCACCACAGCGTAGAAGGGGCAGCCTTCAACTGCAGCCCCACTGTTCCCAGGGGCCACATCTGTGGCTGGAGCCCTGCCACCACATGTGCCTGGGCCAGGCAGGCTTCTGGGCACAGGCACCACTGTCCTGGTGACCCATCTGCTGGGAAACCCAAGGCTTACCACAGAGTGCAGCCAGCTGAACTGGGAGCACAGGGACCATCAACAGGGACAGACAGACAGCTGTGGTGGGAGCTGAGGGCCCTCCCAGGCAGGGGACATGGCCCAGCTTCACCCACTCCTGCTTTGCTGCGACTTTCACAGAGAAAATCATTTGTGACACCTTCTTCCTGGTCCATGTCACTTCTAACACACTTATCCCATCATTCTTGCCACTTTAGGAAGCAGTTCTGGAAGTCCTCTTTTCTGAGTGTCTTACCTTCCACGGTCATTTTGACTTTGGAAAAAAGCCAGAAGCTGCACAGTGACAGATCCAGTGAATAAGGTGGATGAGAACACAGTATCATATTTTTATGAGTCTGCCTTTTCATTAGGTGGCACTTGGCAGCAGCATTCACTGTATTTTTGATCACACCTCCGAAGGATACAAACGAAGACTTCTAGAACTGCTTTATTAAGTGTCAAGAATGATGGGATAAGTGTGTTTAAAGCAAGAGGGCATATTCTAAGGGTGACTAAAGGTGATGTGTCTTTTAGTGTAATAATTTTTTATTTAACCATGAAGCATATATATTGACCCCTCCATGTACACTGAACTCTGAAACTGGCTGTCTCTTCTCCTGATCTGCTGTGGGGGGCTGCACCTCGCTACTTCTGCCCAGAACTGAAGGAGGCAAATGTAGGAAAAGATCAAAACTCCCAGTTTGAAGTGTGGTTTCTAATGATGAATGCATATCACTTTTACATTGTCCTGAAGTTAAAACTCACAAGATGGGCCACTGTAAGTCAGGGACTGTCTGCAGCGTAGGAGCTACATCATAGGTTGCTGCAAAGCTCAAATGAGAACATCTGTGCCCACTACTCTGAACTCCAGGGAGACAGGTACATGTGTACACACACACACACACTACAATCTGCAAGTTGCTGTAACAGCAATGCACAGCACCTTTCCACCGGGTCCCAGGAGCTGCAGTGCCTTGGGGCGGGGGGGTTGTCTCTGGTGGAGTGAGATGCACTCCAGGAGGTATCTGAGGAGACTGGGATTCTGAAGGTGATTTATAAGTTGACAGGCTGGAGAGGAGGTAAGAGGAGGTTCTCTGAGAGGCACAGAGGAGCACTTTGCGGTTGGACTCAGAACAGGAGTGTTAGTGGGCATCACATGAGGCTGGGATAGTACCATACACAAGGCTGCACTGGTGACCTGGGGGTCCAGTTCCTGTGAGCAGTTGCAGGCTACTGGAACAGACCACATTACCTCCTGTCACTCGTGCATTACCAGCCTCAGGCCACCAGAAGAAGCAGGAGCAGAGCTGGCCAACGGGTCACTTGCAGATCTGCCTGCCCTTCCCTTTTCATGCCTAAAATAGACACTTTTTCAAGAAAAACTTTTTTTCTGGTTGTAAAATTAATAATGCTCATTAGTGATGATTTTGAAAATATAAAACAAATCTCTTTTCCCACTTTCAATTAAGAAACTCACTTAGTAACAGCAATGTTTTCTGGCCTGTCAGGTTAATTAAAAGTCTGGCTAACTGAATATTAAGTCATTTAGCTCTGCAGTCATGCCCTTTGGCCTTCCCTCCAATGATCTGGGGAAGAACCAGCCCTCCTGTGGGCCTTCCTTCCAGGGCCACCTGCCTTGGATCCTTGCTTCTGACCCAGGGGGAAGAGCCCTGTCATGGCGTGCAACACACTGGTGCCCCTAAAGGCCACCCGCTTTAAAACGCAGTGGATTTTGCTGAATGTAAAAACCATAGCTTTTAAATCAGAGCCATCAGGCATGGTTCTTAGCTAGAGGCTTGCTTTTCTTGCCCACGGGGCCATCTTCTCGCCAGCTCCTGGGCTCTTCAGTAGCTGAGGTGTGGCCAGCTCCAGCCCCCAGGTGACAGGCTTCAAGGCACGTGTGGTTAAGAACTTCTCCATCACATGGTGTTTATTCACCCGGACAGCAGGTGAGGAGACCCCAGAGGGAACTAGTTAAGTCAGAGCCCAAAGCTAGATTCTCCTCATTAGAGAACCACTCACCTCATTGTTCTTGTAAATAGACTGCCCCCACTCAGCTTTTAAAACAGTTTACTTTCAGAAAGTACCTGAAAGTAAGTACTTGCTCTTTCTCTTCCAGAAACAGATTTGCCAGGGAGCTGAGGCCCAGCTCTGTAATCAGGCCTCAACTTGGCTCTGACAGCAATTAGTGAAAACAGCAAGAAGCAGAAGTTTGATTCATTTGGGTTACTTGTCTGGTCAGGTCAACCTTGTCTGTTTAAAAAAATATACAATGTTTTGGGGGGTTTTTTCTAAGTTTTTAAATATTACCTTATCCAAATATTAATTAAGGGGTCGTGTTTTACTTTGCAAAGAGATTTTAAGAAGATCGTAACTGAGTTGTGTAGGTTACCCCAGAGCACTAAAAATCAGATTCTGGTTTTACATAAAGCTCTTTGGAAAAGTAACTTCTGCACAGGGAGTGACATGCCTGTCTCAGACATAGCCTACATAACCAAACTCTTCCACACAGATCCAAGCCCAGCTCAGTCCACCTTTTGACAACAGTTTTGTGTAAAACATTTATAGTGTTGCTTATGGGTTGGTTCAGCAAGGGGCTGCTGGTCTATGAGGAAGCTACTCTGCGGGAAAAGCATTTGCACAGAGCTTCTGATTGGGTCTTTTCCCCAAGATTAGCTCCCAGGCCCCACTAGCTGAAGCCATGCTGCATTTAGAAGATCATTTTAACAGGAATGATCCTTTCTGAGCCCAGAATACCTGCTGTCAAGCAGTCCTGAATGCCCAGTAATGTGCACAACCGAAACTCCTTCACATCCTAATTCCCAGAGCGCTTTGAGTAGTGAGTTTATGTGAACAAAGTCTCTGCTATTGGCTCTACTGGAAGAATACTGACATCTGCAGCTATTCTGAAGAAACTTGTCTTTCAGAATTATTATAAATACGTTACTGGAAGGAATAAGAGTTTGGAAGAAAATTGAACATAGTCTTAGAACTTATAAAATTCAACAAATAAAATCCAGAAGCTCATGAGCCAACAAGGAGGCCTGGGTTGGAAGGTGTGATTTTGGTTTTGAGCCTGGACAAATGAGTTCTATGTCTCATCGGGTAGATTGTTGGGGTCTGGAGCCACAGCAGCTTCCCTGTTGAGTATATAAGAGACCCAGGGCCAGGTCACTTAGCCTGCCTCTGGCACAGCATGCCCAGCAGATCTCAGGCTCACTGCCATCTATCCCAACAAAGCTCTCTTCCAGAAGCTCTGGTGGACAGTGTCCAGCAC